AACCCTCTGCATGACTATCAATTTTCTCTGGTCCCCATAGAGCTAAAGCTCCTCCTCTGGGCTATCCTCTGACTCCTCGTCCACCTTGTCGACGACGTCCTGATTTGTGAATGTGATTACTTGACCTGGGATAGTAGGAGGTTATGTGCCTATAGCCGTGACATCTGAAACACTTCCTGGCTGGTACTGTATTTGTAGTTCTGCCTTTCTTTTGTTTCTTCCCAGTCTGATCTTGTCTGTCATTTCCCAGCACCGCCTTGCTAGCTCCTCCAGAAGGACCCTTGTCGGTCTCTGTAGCTGTTGGTAGTTGCCTGACTGAAGACTATTTCCTGAATGAGTATTGCTTCTTGTTTTTTTTTTGCAGTCTTTCCACTTTTAAGGCTAAAGTTTGAACACCTCGAGGCAACTAGCTGGGTTCCAATTGCACCACATTGCTAATAGGAGATTTTAGCCCCGCCCCCCCCCCCCCCCGCCCAAAAAAAAAAAAAAAAACGCTCTGGCTTGACCAAGTCACACTTCATTTACAATTGATCAAACAACATCGTGAATTCATCCACTAAATGATCTTGTTGCAGCAAGTGGTGGAGCCTCATAAACATGTCTTTGCGATAATGTGGTGGTAGATATTTCCTTTGCAGTTGTTTCGTTATCTTCTCCCACTTAAAACTTTTATCATGAACTTCTCTTTTTCTCTGTCTCTGAAAGTTCTCCTGCCAACTTTTTCAACTTGATGACAATCAATTTTAGCTATTAATCCTCTGACACATTTTTATATTCGAAGATGCACTCCAATGATTGTAGCTAGTCGACAAAGTCATTCAGATCCTTGCCACCATCAAACTATGGCAGATCCACTTTGATGTCGAAGTCCCTGTGTTCACCATATGCAGGCTCCTCTCTCAACCTCTGATATTGAATTCCGAAGCGGCGCTGTCTATATTCCTCGTCACTGATGACTTCTCTGTGGAATGGATTCAGATCTTTATCCCTGTCGCCCCTTTGACTCTTCAGATCATGGTTGAGGGTAATCTCCCCTTTGGTTCCGTTATCCAACTCTGTTAATCTCTGTTGCAAATGATGGATCTTCCATTGTATGTAATCCTGGGTGGGGTTGGTATCTTCTTGGTGCATGATTGAAGGTTTGAGATATGTGGAAGGAAAAAAAAAAGAAAGATCAAAGAAGAAAAAAAAAAGAAAAAAAAAAGAAATAGGGGGACAGAAAAAAAAATGGTGGACTCTAGGGAAACTTAGAATATGACTAGGGATAGGCTAGCTTTTATACCACGACCGGACAATAAATTTTATTGCTATCGAAAGATCAAAGAAGAAAAAAAAAGAAAAAAAAAAGAAATAGGGGGACGGAAAAAAAAATGGTGGACTCTAGGGATCCTTAGAATATGACTAGGGATAGGCTAGCTCTTATACCACGACCGGACAATAAATTTTATTGCTATCTTCAAATCTTGTGATGAATCCTCTACATAAAATAACACAAACATGTAAACAACACATGACGTTGATGATGCTCCAAAACAAGAAATAAAAAAATCACAAAATAAAAAATGACTCTTTAGAGGAGAGCGGCAGGCTCGAAAGGGAAGGACAAAAGCGGCGGTCATGCTAGAAATTTGTTGAAAACGCAGGGCTGTTGCAACAGATGATGGAGGAGTGAGGGAGGCCTATTGGGAGGAGACTCACACCTTGTGGTGGCGGCGTAGAGGAGAGTTAGGGTGGTGGCAGTGGATTGGATAACAACAGGAGTTGGTGCTGGGGGCTGCAACATCAGTAACAAGGTTCAAAGGGCTGGCCAGCAGCATGAGCCAGAGTCTAGGGGCTGGCCAACATTAGGAAGAGGATTGGAAGGACGG